TTTTGTTTCACTTTATGTCATGTAGGCGCATGTTAGTCTCACACAAATACAACGATGCATATGTTAAATTAAGTAGGAAGTGTCATTTACTTCAAAGGATTTCAGATACAGTCCTCTGAGTATGACTAAAACCAGTGGAACTACTCAGTGGGCTCTGGATAAAACCCCACTTTTCAAGGTTTCTATGCTAACAGATCAGCCTCAATTCAGCAGTGCTTTTCTCCCCAAAACAGCAGATCCCATCATTCCTAACACCAGGCAGGACACCAGAGCAACCAATCAGATGTCTGCAGTGAACATCTCTCCCTAGCCAAAAAAACATCCCACAGACTTAGCATAATAAGTTATTGTCTTCTTAAAAGGCAGCATACACACACTGATCACCCTCATTAAGGAAGCAGGACAATTTTCTTCTGTAAAACTTCAGTCTTCATCAATGTTGTAACTGGTCCAAAGGGAGAAGTGGAGTAGCTTAGCAGCCGGAGGACAAATCCACAGATTCCCCGTTTGCTGTTCTCAGCTCGGCAGGGGGGGCGGTATGAAATGGGAGGAGGGAATTTGCAGAGCTGAGCCTCTCTTTTTCTTATTTTCCTTTGGACAGCACTGCTCTCACCATTTGGATCACTGATGGGATGGTTTTCCTCCCGGCAGCCAGACTGAATGCATCTGTTCAGATTGCTTTCCAGGCTCATGGCAAAAGACTATTGGCCTCAAAAATTCACTGCCCCTGCTTGACAGGCTGAAACCTGTATTATAAGGCTTTGGATTTTAACCTTTTAATTACATTTTATTTCTAATTAGTTGCCAAGAGGGTAGGCAAGTGCTTAACAAGAATTGATGTGATGGAGCCAGCTTTGAAAGTGAGTCAGATATGTTTGTTTATATTGAACGGCAGTACACTTCCCTACATCTGTGAGAAGTACAGCTCTAAATAGGAGTTTTAACAAATGACTTCAAATTTGCCTGGCAGCCCAGATTTCTTTCCCTAATATTTTATTCTACATGCATAAAGCATAAAGGCTCTACTCAGTGGCAAACAATGATAGGACAAGGGGTAATGGGTGCAAACTGGAACACAAGAGGTTCCACTTAAACTTGAGAAGAAACTTCTTCTCAGTGAGGGTACTGGAACAGGCTGCCCAGAGATGCCAGCTAGGGCCAGGGAGGGGATGTGTACTGTGATGATACCACAGAGATGCCAGCTAGGGCCAGGGAGGGGATGTGTAGGATTAAAATGAGTGGAGATACAAAGTTGGAGCTTTTGAAGGTAGGGAAAACCAAGGAAAAATTACCTTAAAACACCACCAGACTATTCATCAAGCATTAAAGACAGCAAAATGTCTGCTGGAGAATTGCAGGTGACCCCAATGAGTAAATGGTGCTTCCCAGTGGGGATCCACCAAGACTTTGGGTCACCAAGCACTCCAGCAGCAAGCCAGCTCTACAGCCACCAAGCTCAGACTGGGTCTTTCTCCTGGTGTTTTCCCAGAGGTTTCTGGTGAGTCTTCAACCTAATAAACATCATGATGGAGGGACTGAACCAAACCTCCCAGCACCAGTGGGTAACAGATGCTCTCGTGTAGTTTTTATGGTGACTAAGGAAAACAAATGCATCCTTGAAATGGTGGAGACAAGAACCAACTTCTGATCCTTTGGCAGCTAGAAAATTTATCTATGGTGATTATTGAACATGGGATTAAAAAGGGATTCCTTGTCCTACATTCATGCAACTTATGTTTTGCCCATCATTGAGATATCATTATAAGGCTAATTTTGTCATCTGAACAAATGAATGCACACCAGGATGCCAAGCCTTACTCCAAGTTAAATCTGCAAAAACTCCATCTAGAATAAAGATATTCAGTGTGACGTTATTTTACATTAATGTGATACAGGAGCACCTGTATATCCTGAGAGTTAGAGAGATTTTGAGCTATTTAAAGAAACCCAAACCCACATATAAAATAAGCCAATATGCTCATACAGCTACAGCTATTACTCTGCTTCCTTATACAACCAAACCAGCCAAAGTGTTTCTGAAAGTCTAAAAAGATCACCTGTCAAAACTGACCACTCTAATTTGTAATATAAACACATTATATCCTTTTTGTGCTAATACAGAAGTACACATCCATTCACTCAGTTTAACCTTCCAGTTCCTTCTTCAATCTCCCTTTTAATGATTGCATTCCATTTAAATATATATGCACACACACCTGTGTTAGCCTCTGTTGCAGTGGGAGCAAAAGAAACCCACTTTTTACTAAAGTTTCACTATGTCCTTAACAGCAAGACCTTCTGGGCAGCAGTAATTTTGCAAAAACACCTTGAAATGCCCTAATGGTATAACTGCAAATTCATTCTATTCAGAGCTTCCTCCACCTTCATGTTCTGCCAGGGAAATTCATTGCCATTTACTCTTGAATCCCTTTTGCTGGTGGCTTTAAAATAAAAACCTCAAACCAGATCCTTTTCAAACCAGAAAAGGATCGACACATACTTCACTTACCTGAGCTACCCAAAAATTGCTGGCATTGCAATACCAGCACCAACCAGCAATTCTGTGTCCTTTTTCTTTACAGGGTGATTCTTGGTGCACAGAGACTGTTGGCTTGGAGAATAAACTTTGCTTTTGGTTTCCATCTCACATAATGATCTTCTCTTCCCTTTTTCCATTTTTGTGTTCTTTTCATTAACAACTCATCACACCCAGTGTCTGCAGTCTCTGAAACACAGAAATACTCATGCTTTGGAACAAAGTCATGTACCTGGTTATCCCAGCTAGCATTTTCTGGATCTGAATGCATAAAACTTCTGAGGTTTAATGCTTTGTGGCTGCAATGGCAATCCAACATTGAAAATGCCCTATGGGAAACTTATGTTTTTTACTGCGGTTTTGTTTACTTCTTTATTGAACAGAACTGGTTTGTTAGTTATTCAGATTTATAAGTTACATTGATCTAAATAATTCTTCAGCCAAATGGCAGAGAGAAACCCTGAGGCCCTGGGCTTTGGTGAGACTAAATCAGTTGTGTATTAACTATGTTAAAACATTTGATCAAAGGGTATTTGGCAGATTCCCCCAAAGACATCCATCCCTCTTGCTCACCATTCTCCAGTCTGCTGCACTTTTCTATTGGTGTGCTGGTCATGTCTATCTACAATAACTTCAAGTTGTCCACTAAGCATGCCTTACACACTAAGTGTGTAAGGCTTTTGCACAAAGAGAGGCATGGTTTGAAAGTGGTAACTCCAAAGACTGGGCATACAAATTGCTGCCAAAGCAATAGAGCTACTTTTCATCTCCCTTTAAGTTTCAGCATGATGAAAACAAGCCTCCTCTTGCAGAATTACTCTTCAATGGCTTTACTGACTTTTTAAATGGCTTTAACCTGCCAGAGGTGAGATTGAGATTACAGACAGAAGCTCTTCCCTGTGAGGGTGCTGAGGTGCTGGCACAGGGTATCCGGAGAAGCTGTGGCTGCCCCATCCCTGGCAGTGTTCAAGGCCAGGTTGGACGGCTGCTTGAAGCAACCTGCTCTAGTGGAAGGTGTCCCTGCCCGTGGCAGGGGGTTGGAGCTGGATGAGCTTTAAGGTCCTTTCCAACCCAAACAAGTCAGGCATTCTATGGCTCAAAATACCAGTCAGAACTTCAGCAAGTGCGTTGCCGTTTTACTGTCTCCTTGCACCCCTCTGCTCCTCTCCCGGAAGAACACATCTGCTTTTTGCCAACTTTCCTCAAACTAGGCAGCATATTCCACTGAAAAGCAACAATTCATAGTGCTACATTTCTGCTTTTACATAAACTGTAGCAGAAGAAGTGGTATGGGCAATGGCTTACCACTCTTTTCCTGGGCCAGTTTAAAATAAGTTAGACTTCTCAAACAACTTTCAGGCATCAGCTTGTTTGTGGGTTTCATTTTCTTTCCCACAACATACACCTCCCAAATACTTCTATTCCAATTATTCTAATATTATATTACTCTATTTATTACATTATTAATGTTAATTATATTATTCTATTATATTATTCTAATATTAATTATTTTAGTGGCAAGGTGATTCTTTGCAGTCTTGTACTAGGATCAGGGAACTAGAAGGAGAATTATATGTAAATGCTTTTCTCCAACTTTATAAAGCATGCTCCGCAAACCTTTTACATTTAAATCTGCATGAAACAGGAGCAGCATCCCTGAAATAGCAGAAAGAGCAGGAAGAATCAGATGCAGGGCATTAAATATCATCCGCACCGATACATATGTGCGTGTGTACAAATCTACCCAGCTAGAGCTTCTGTGGTATTTGAAAGGACAGTAAACCCTGAAGAGCCTGAATGTTCACAGGGGAGCTTATCAGTTGTTGATGAGGCCCTGTCCAGCCTTACAGACAGCCAGTTTCCTTCTGCAGTGGGGCACTAGTTTGCTGCGGAGCCAGCAGAAAGGTGATAAGCTGCGGAGAAGATTTTTTAGGAGTCTTGCCTATCTTTCACACCAAGTGGCCAGAGCACATTTTCCACAGTTGCCACTTGCAGATAGGCTGGCTGCTTGCGGATAAGGTCAAGAAAGAAATAGGAAAATGGGTTCCAGTTTGCTTCCTCTCACAGTCCCATAGGACCCTGAGGTTAGGCCAAACTGTTTTCTCCCTCCCACCCCCCTTTTTTAAATATATAAATCTCTCAGAGCTTATAACTGCACCAGACAAGGTAGCTATGGAGTCGACTCAGAGCAAGAGACAGATTTCAGACTGGCTATCAGCAATTCCCTGTCTGCAACTGCCAGGCAGGAAAGGCCTGCAAGTTCTGCCAGCTGATAGCAAAAGCCTTGGTTAAACTGAGCTGTAAATCTCTTTCAGCCCTCTCAGAGGAAAGGGGTTATTGCAAAGTTCACCTCTTGCCCAGTGGCGAGTGACTCTTCAGGTTGGGCACCAGCATCAGGGTGGTGCAGAGCAGGAGGGCACTGATGCAGGATGGGATGTCCAGCTCTGGGACAGAGCAGCCTCATCCCTCATTTCTCAGGCCACTTCTCTAGATACTGAGAGAAATGCAAATATGCAGCGGCTGAGGTTAGCATCCAGGAGAGATAACGTTAGGAAACTCCAGGGGAGAACTTAAGCTGATGTCTGAGGTTGTTGTACCTACATCTTTGAATCTCACTCTGAATGTTTGACCCCCTTGCCATTGTGGAAGCATACCAGAGCATTATCCTGGTCACTGTTTTCCAGGGTTGCAAACTTACGCTTGCAGGTTAAAACATTTTACCCTCAGCTGCTGACAGTGACAGGAGTCACCTCAAGTTACTTGCATATATTTATGTTTAACACTGCCCTTGGGATAATGCTATTAACGCATAACAATACACAATCACTATAAGGCTAATGTTCTGTACCACTATGATGGTGTTGCATCCATTGGGCAGTTTCCTTTTACAGTGGAGAGAAACTCTGCCAACTGCATTGATGCATCTGCCTCTCTTGGCATCTAAGTGAGCCACCCTTATTATTGCCTCCCCCTCCCACCCAAGAGCCTCCCAACAGAAGAAAGAGATTTGAGAAAAAGTCTATGTGATGCTTCAAAAGCTTTGCTGAATCTTTGCTGCTCTAAGGCATAAATTTGAAATAACAGATTGTTGTGTTCAAGTGCTGCTGTGCCAACCCTTTCGAGTATTGCCAGTGTTTTGGGGTCAATGTGTTAGTGAGGGAATGGCTGAAGGGGAAAAAAGGATTTCAAAAGTTTAATTCCCAGTTCAGACTATCTCTGGAATCCTATGTTTTCAAGTTGCCCACGTGCTGCCCTCTCTTCTGCTTTGTGAAGGCACCGATATCTTCCGCTTCTTGCTAGCACAAATCAAACACCCCTTGGCCAAGCTCCTCTTCCTGCAAACTACTCTGACAGTTCTGTCATGCTGATGTGCAGAGGTTGTCCCCAAAACGTGTTCATCTCTGGTTCACACAGCACCAGCACGAGGCAGCCTTGATGGATACCAGAAAGCAGCTTGTCTGTCTCTAGCCCATGAAGGGAGTGGAAAAGGGTCTTATTTTGCACTTCATGTGGTTTCCAAACAGCCTTGTAGCCATGCATGAGGCTTCACCCATCCATGCAGGCATGGTGGGGTGCTGCCAGCATCCTCCATGGGTGGCACCCACCACAGCCCCCCTGCAGCATGCCAGACTCTTTGCAGCCCCGTGGCACTCCTTTACAAAGATATATCACTTCTAATCAGTGCTAAGACCTCCCAGAAAAATGGTGCAAAGTTGGAATGGCAGGACACAGAGGTGGCTCAGCCAGGGCTTCTGTGTTCCCAGCAGTAATGGGACTGGAAAAAGGAGAAGCCAGGAGATGAGAGGGCAAGAGGGGAATATTTTTCTGGTAGAAAAGAAATATGCTAGGGATGAACATGTAGTGCCAGTGATATTTTAATCTCATTGGCAGGGAGCTGCTCTTCCAGATAGGCAGAATTAGTTTGGGGTTTCAGTGTCTTCCCTCAGTTGGGCTGGCAGATAGAGGGGCACAAGTGATCTGCCATGCACCACCCTGGTCCTGGGGATGCAAAATATTCCCTGACCCAGTAATCAAGAATTCAATAAGGAAAAGTAATCACAAGGCCAGATTTTCCCCTCAGGGTGACTATTAAGTTGGTGTCACCAGTAACTCCAGTGAAGTGGCTCCTGACCAGCATGGTGCAAAGAAGGGAAGAGCCAAGGCTGCAGACTCCCAGGCCCCAATCCTATTTAGCAGTGGAAATTAATGAGACACCGCTAAGGCTGATTTGCACACTGCAAGACCACCTCCATGACCCCTATGTCTGTCAGCAGCAACAGGAGCACTGACCTCACCAAAATGTTCTTGGTGCTACCAAGAAAGCTCAGCAGAGGTTGAAATCCATAATTCAGAAGGGCCCAACACCAGAAGATGATGTTCTTGCTTTATGTCTGGAATCAAAAGGCACCATGTGCAGGATAAAAGAGTTTTTTTTGTCCCTTTGCTTCTCCAATGGAGACACACACATGCACAAGGACATCCCTTGTAGAGCCATCCGTATCAGAGGGACAGACATCACAGCCACAGCAGTGTTTTTCCACATCTCCGTTTGCAAAACACTTGTTCCTTGCAATACCTTGATGCTGTCCCTGTGCAGCATTTCCCTGTGACAGAGATAAGAGATTGGCACCAGCTTCTCTACAACAGACCCACAAACCCTTCCCCTAGCACAAAACCATATTATCTTACAAGCTATTTTTCTCACCAGGGAGATTTTACTTATTCCTATCTTACACCTGGTAATGAAATCGCACAAAGTATAGGGTATAGGAAAGAGGAAGCTTTTGACTGAATTCGTACCACTTTCTACAGTTCCTAATTTAATGGTTGTCTATTAATAGAAAAAAAGCTGATTGCCGTAGGTGCCCTAGTTAGACCTGAGACTATTAAAGCATCTCAGCCCACTGAGGTTGATAAGAGTGGTTCAGCCCACCCCTTCTACACTGTTCAATTTACTGTTTGAAGGTAAAGAAACCATGCCTGGAGACATGCAACTTATATTTGTCAATGCATTGCATGCTACTATTGGGAACTTTCGCTGTAAATACCCTCCAGTGTGGTCCAAAACAATAACAGGGCATTTGTCAGGCAGGAAGAAAATCCACAGATCTCCATTATGCTGAGGGACACCAAAAACTGGAGAACAGACAGTGGAAAAAAAACATTACTGCAGCCAGGGAGCAGAGGTCTGCCAAACCCAGAGAGTGAAAAACAAAAGGGCTGTAACCTATACTGGATAATATCAGAGACTACAGTAAAAAGGTTAAAAGAAATCATCTCTTTCTACCACATTTTTATTGCCTCCTTTGTTTAGACTTACAAGCCTGAAGGCTCAGTTTTTCCCCTCTTGATCACTGGTTTTGGGAAATTTTTGTCATCATTTTGTACTAGATGTTGCTTTTCTTCAAAGAGCTCACATAGACTTCATGCAGAATGAGGACGTTGGTCACTCCAGGAGAGGAAATGCCAAATGAGTGTACAAACGGAGAGGAAAATCTCACATCCCAAAAGAGACAAATCCAGCAACAGAGACATGCCTCCCTTGTAAAATGTGACAATCAATATAACAAAGAGAAATGGAATTCCTGCCAGCCCTCTGATAGACATTGTGCATACTGGGCTTGGATATATCCTCCTCTTCCTTTCTGCCTTCAGAGGGGATGTTATTTGAGCCAAACATGAAGCTAAGCCTGTCAATAAAGATTTACTGGCTTGCGGACAAAGCCTACCAGTTACCAGCAGCACCACCACGGAGACACTCAGTGAGGGCACAGCATAAGAGTTGCTCAAGAAAACATCACTCAGACAGATGGGGGCTAACCATTATGTGTGTTTGCCTAAACTACCGGCTAATTGAGGTGGAAAATGACTTCTCCAGATGATGGACACTCCTCATGGTCTTGATTAACTCCCTTTGTATTGTGGTTTACAGAAATATGTCAGCGTTCTCCATCAATCTGCCAGCAAGTCTTTTCCCTAACATATTTCAGCTTGCCACTTGGCCTTTCACTGCAGATAGGTGCTGCCACAGCTGATAGAGCTCCCGCATGACATCAGGGAGCAGCCCTACCTCTTTCCACGGGTGTTGACCTTCCTCTTTCACAACAAAAATGAAACAAGTCAGCAACTTCAAAACAAATGGCGTCCTGGTGTAGTTGTGGATTTGGAAGTGAATATTTCTCAAACCTACCCTAGGACTGAGAAGAGTTATAAAGTGCCAGGGATAATGCAATTGAAGAGTATTGGTGCTGCTTTAAACATATCTGTTGGTATCATTTGCCAAGTATGATCGTAATATTGTAATTATAAAATTAACTTGGCTCCTTTTTTCTCTTGAAATCAATAGGGATGTTTTAACATCTCAGTAGGATGTCATACATTCCACTCAGGAAGAACTGAAGTTACAAATGCAGGTTGGGAAACACCTGATGGGAAAAAAGGTGGGACTTAGAGCTGACCATGACTACTCAGAATGCAGCAACGCATGTCTCTGTATGCTGTTTGGTACATCCCTGTGCCCTCTGTACCCCTGATAGTGCTCCACTGTGGGACTGCATCAGGTATCAGGTGCAATACTTCACGTAAAAGTAAAGATTTCTCAGCTGTGCAGGCAATATACATTTACAGTTACAAAGCAGCTTAAGAGAAGCAGAAAGGGCACCAGGGATGGGGAAGAATAGGCTGAAATGCATTCTCTTAAAAACTTTGTTCTGCTTCTAGATACTTTCACAATTCCTCTTTTCCTAGGGCACCTTTCTCTTTCTGGATCACTACATTCCTTTGCTACCCCAGCAGCAATCCATATGGGGGCTAATGGTCTGCCGGAAGAAAAGACATGGACTGAGGAGTATAGAAGTGAGCATAGAGGGAGCAAGCAGAGACTAGAAAACGTGACTTAAAAGGAAGTGTTGAAAGAATCAAAATACTTGCTATGTATTAAAGAGGCAAAGGGAAGGGATATTCAATTTGCTCCTTGCCTATCAAAAATGATGCACTAGATAAAAACAAAAAAGGAGAATGGTAACTAAGTCCATTCGGATTCACTAACTCAGGTTCCCAATAACCTTGTGACTCTAACATATGTTGATTTCAAGTTAGGTTGCAAGACAAATGGCTCTTTGTGGATGTTCTGCATTACTTCTTTGGGAAAGACCTCCTTTCACTGTGTCCCTATACAGCATCTAATTCAGTGAGGCCCTGCTCCAAAGTGGAAATCTACAGGCAACAATGCAGAAGTCCACTTAAAAGCTAGCCAGATTTAAATAGTTGGAATAATTAGCAGGGAATATTCTACTTGTACTCTGTCATTTGGTCATCACAAAGTCTACATAATATTCAAGATCTAAAAGAAAAAACAGCCTCACAATCCACATCTGCTTTTCCCATTACCCTAGAATTTAGGTGCTTGGCATTTGAACTTCATACACAGATAAATATGCCAGATCATTAAGAGATGAAGACCAAGAAAACCTCAGTTACTATGTAGAGTCCTAGAAAGCTAAAACTTTTGCTATATTTATTTCATTTTTTTATCAGAAGAAAAATCTTTCTCGTTTTTAAATAGTTATATAGCTAAACATTAATCTTATATCATCTTCACCACTGCAGACTCTGTGTGCCTTCCAGCTGTGCCATAAAAGGTCCAACTAACTTTTCTCCTCCTTTCCCTAAGGGGAGGATGTGCTTTCCATAACAGATACCTACTGCAGTGCTCCACATGCTAACATTACCATGAGGGAAGAGAGTGCAGAGAAAAGTAGGCACGCACAAAAACCGAAGGAAAAGGTTTCCAAGCTGAACATTTTGTAATACATCTTCCTAGTGGGCAAATTAACAGGTCAGTTTCTCTAAACTTCTCAGAGTGTTATTGTTTCTTTGTACCTTAGATGAACATTTTTTAAAAGGCAAGCATCCCTCCATGAATCTTTTCCTTGTAAGTGACAAAAGGTGCATAAATGATAGTCTTCAGTAATCTTACAGCCCTATTGATCTCCACCAATGAACAGAGAGAGGGTTTCTCATTTAGGAGGAGGAAACAACCAACTGTAATCCATTGTGGACCAGCCTGGGAATGCTGCCTTTTTATTTTTTTTCTATTTTAAAGATAGGATGGGTTAATTTCCCAGTTCTAAACAATTTATCTGTGCTGAGCTGGAAGAGTGTTGAGTGGGAAAGGGTTTCATTGTCCACTAGGGCCTTATGGCTCTTCAACACCCACCACTTCTGCCTCATGTCAAAGAAAAGCAAATAGGTTTATTAAATAGCTGTCAGGCCGAATGAGGCTGTACAGAGAACAAACAGAAGGGAAATTGGATTAGAGGCAGAGTACATGCCACACTAAACAAGGGTACAGATTTACAGCTTTCACTGCACAACTGGACAATGGACTTTGAAGATGAGTTTTGGGGAGGGGAGAGCCAAAGTCTGGGGATAATGGGAAGACGACCCACGCAGCCCAGGCAGAGCAGCAGTCACCCTCCTCAATAGCTGGAAGCTCAGAAGTAAAGGTACCCCTGGCTCCAGACTCCTGTCTGTGTGAATAGAAAGCGTTCCCAGGCTGTCCTCTGCCCACCTCCCCCAGGGAAGATGCTTTTTCACCCTGATCTTCTGAGACATCAGTCCTAAATCACACCATCTACCCCAGCACAGGAAACAAGAAGGAAAAAGAGTGACAGCAGAGCTACAGAGAATTAAACTTTCCCCGATAAAAGCTTTGGCTCACAGGCGGGCTCAGAGAGGTTGGGCTCTTTTGCAAGTGGCTGATAGTTATTCCCAGAGAAACCCCAGCCAAATTCTCACCACGGAAGGGGAAGTGCCAAAATATTTTCAAGTGCTTTTTAGCTGGAAGAAAAGGGAAGAAAAATGCAGAGGTACTCCCCAAGGGGACTGCAGGGACTGGTAGGGTCAGGAGGATTGTAACGCGCCAAGCGATGTAAGGAGCTGTGTGTTTTGTGCTGAAAAACTGCAGACCTCAGCTACTTAACATATGCAGTAACTGGAACTGACTACTACCTGGTGTTGCTATAGCAGCCTGAACTTTTCTTATACTGAGGAAAAGATACCACATCACCCAGGCCACAGTAACTGATTCCACTGTGAGAAGGAGCAGGTCTTGAACTGTTTACCTTTGTACCGACCTTCAAAACCTGTGGTTTTGTCTCCTACAGGCAAGCTGGAAACCTAAGTGCTAGATTCCAGATGTTCCTCCACACTGAGGCCCAAGACCAAGCACTTCTCTGGACGTTTGCCTCAAACCACTTCAGGCAGGTTGTGATTTCTTCACACATTCACCCCAGCACAGCACCATCATAGAATCATAGAACGGTTTTGGTTGGAAAGGACCTTAAGATCAACCAGTTCCGACTCCCCTGCCATTGGCAGGGATGCCTCACACTAGACCATGTTGCCCAAGGCTCTGCCCAATCATCTCAAAAGCATTTCTGGAAAGCAGGACCCCTTCAATATCCTCATCAATATTACAGCTTAGCTCCCATCTCTCCAACAGTGAAGGTAAATGCATTGCTCAGCTGTGCATTGACCTGCATGTTTGCATCACCAGAGTGTTTATAACCTACATTTCCTCAAGTTTCAACTGAATGGCACT